CCCTAACCTCTCTGCATATTGTCACGCTTTCGTTCATCGGCTACACCTTAGTTACCACCATGGGACAGTGGTGAACGGCAAACCGCAATCGAACTAATTTTCCACTCCCGTTTCCATTTTATTGTTGCATTTCATACAAATTGCTACACCTCGTTTAACGATCCTTATACAATGCAAAATAATAGGTATTTTGATTGGCGTTCGTATTACGTTTCGCTTTAGATTTATTGTTTCAAATCCTATACATACCTTAGCTAATTTTTAAAGACAAGACTTCTACGGAATCTGGTCGTGTATTAAATTCAAATTTCGAATTAAAATCTCAAATTTAAATACGCATTAAATCCAAATGTTCGTACGTGACTAAAAATTTCTAATTTAAATTTAAATTCAAATTGGAACTTTTTTTTTTTGTATCAGAACGAATTTTAATATTCGAAATTTTAATCGAATCGAAACAACAGCCGTACAGAAAGTAAATTTCGAACTTTTCGACTCCGAAAATTGGTATCGTGTACGATTTATGTGACCGCGCTTAATCTACGCTCTAAATTCTCGGCTGCATGCATTTGGCCATGTTCGTTTCGATTTTCCGCAACGACTATCCATCGCATAACTCGTCGCGTTGCTTTCTCCTCGACGCGAGCCAAGGCGCGACTACGTTCTCCGTAGCGTTTTCATTAGTTCTGCCTGAGTCGAATGCAAATCGCGGTGATCATTTGTCCAGGCAACAAAGCGTCGTTAGCCCGTATCTTTTTCTTCGTTACTCTGCCCCTTTCTTTTTCCTTCGGGGACGATTGTGGCCGTTCGTCGGTGGCGCGCGCATCTCTTCCTCCCCACTCCTCTAGCCGCCATCTATCATCGATAGCGGTGATTCGCACGCGACGATAAGCATTATTCCGGTCGGGCAATTAGGGATCCACTGTATCGTAACTCGAATCCGTCATCGTCATCCCACTCTGTGTGTAACACCGGCCCGAACAGGAAGGATCGTCGCGGCTCGGCCGGCTCACCTATATAATTAACCGCAATTGAAATTTCATCTTTCTCATTGAACGCCAAATTACTTTCACCGCGGCGAGCGCGAAATCGCGTTCGCAGCGTTCCTTCCGCCCCGTCGCGGTTTCAAGCGTCCTAAACTGGTAATTGGATTTCTTGCGACGACGATTATTTATCGTCACCCTCGGCGCTTTCGACGTACCTCCGGCTGTTCCTCGTTTCGCGTTCGTCGGCCTTGTTATCATCAGGGAGCGGTACGTACAAGTGATACGGGGCTGTTAGGATTTTGCAATGGTGACGTTATACGATTCGACGAATTCGTACAGGGCGTGGTCGAAAGTCACCGTTCGCCGTTGGAAATTTCGGAAGGTTTGGAATTTTTTATTCAATTTCAGTTTTTGATTTTCGGGGTATTTTTTAATGCGTGGTATTTTTAATTATATTTTTACTTATTGATAATTATGGGTTTTTTGCAAAAAATTTTCCATTACTTCACGACGAATATACTCGTTGTCGAATAAAAGATTATCATCATTCTCTGACGAATATACTCGACGTGAAGATCGAAATGGTCGATCGTGGGCAGAACGTGACGGATCGGGGACGATACTCGCGACGTAGCTAACAAACTGATTATCCTTGAACCGTGGCCCGTGTCCAGACAGTCGTAGAATGTATTATTACGAGGAATCCGACGAACTTTCACGCTTCTGTAACGAATATAACAGCCTTATTACACGATGGCGTGTTTCGACGGACGCTCGTTACTTACGACTGCCATTTAATCGAACGATAATCAATCTACGAGGCCTTTTAAAAGCCATAGACGACCATTCGTTGGCAACTTATCGAACCTTGAAATTAGTCGATCGCCTCTGCGAGCCTGTGCGACTGCGCGAAAAAAGCCGCCATCTTTCTTCCCGTCTTCGCGCTCTTTTTCCTTCCCCCCAACTTCGCCGCGACAAGCACGCTAATCCTGTTTCCCGCGAACGAATGTGTTCCGAAGCTGATCGCTTTTTTACCAGCCAATGAAATTGCTAGCGGGAGGTGGTGACTTTGATAGAATCCTAACTTACCGATCGGTCTAACCACGATAGAAAATCTTTCCACATTTATACGTAAACAATGAGAACGAATTATACATTTTTCAGTTTTTTACACTTTTTAGTTTAAAAAATTGCGTTGCACGGAGTAAGACGTGTAATCAATGATGTAATACACATGTTCAATATTGAGTATATTCAATAATGAGGTTAGGTTATTTTGACCCTTTCTTTTCACCGTACACCAAAAATTCTAACAAGCTCGTCAACGATGTCACTCTTTGTATTAAATATTATATTTATAGTGTATAGTAACAGAAACGTATTAATACAATATATTACAAGGAAAAATATAGATCGACGAGGAAAAAAAAGATATCACCAGATACATCATTAACGATATTCTCTGAAAGACCTCCCTGTACATTCGACACTACGGTCGATAAAGAAGGAACTAGATTAGACCCCGAAAAAGATTGGATTATAAATATCAACACATGAACGTACATTTATACAAAAATTTCGTTGAAGTTTCGATTCTTGAAATGGAAAATCCTGGCAAAATAAAATCAATACATCGAGCTTCGATATCTTGGAGTTTAGAAATTTTACAAAGTTCGAGTTTCGTGAATTTTTGAAAAATAAATTCGAATCTGTCTCTAATAAAAATAAATAAATAAATAAATATATATATATATATACATATATATGTATATAAAATTATTCTTCGAAATTATTATAAAAGGAAAGAAGTAACGAACGATTTTGCATTTTGATGGCAAAACTATGGACTTGTAAGGTACTATTTAAATATAATGATAATTAAA